AAATCATGTTCTAAAAGCTGGAAGTTCGTTTTCTCATTGAAACAATGTTCAACAAATGGCTACGTTCCAACATTATTTCAAAAGGGCTTATTTACCTTACGTGGGACAGCTGCAGTGCACGAGGGGTGGGGGTGGGGGGGAAGGCGGTGCTGGGCTGCCGGGCTTGAGATGGAAGGGCTGCTAACTAGAAATAATTTACAAGTATATTTTTAACAAGGAAATTAAGTGTTAGGTGGAGGGGGCGTGATGGGGCGGGGAGTGGGAAATGAACGCTTCCCCTTGAAGTGAACTTGCAAAAGCATGGTAGCAGGTGCTTCTGGATTTGGACACACAGCAACCAAAATGTGTGTGACTTTGGCCGGGCACAGTGGCTCACTCCTGTAATCCTAGCACCCTGGGAGGCCAAGGCGGGAGGATCCCTTGAGCTCAGGAGTTAGAGACCAGCCTAAGTAAGAGCCGGACCCCATCTCCACTAAAAATAGAAAAACTAGCTGGGTGTTGTAGTGGGCGCCTGTAGTCCCAGCTACCTGGGAGGCTGAGGCAGGAGGATTGCTTGAGCTCAAGAGTTTGAGGGGTCTGTGAGCTGGGCTGACGCCATCCATGTCACTCTCGCCTGGGCAATAAAGTGAGATTCAGTTTAAAAAAAAAAAAAAAGTGTGACTTTGCTTTTGTCTCCTTTGTGGTTCATCACAAGCAAAAGTGTAGATGCTCAGCCATGTGTCACAGGTAGACTCTGGGAACAGAATGAGGAAAAAATAATGCGTAGAAGTGTAGGAGGAGAGGACCCTATAAGAAAACAGCAGAGAGTCGGCAGGCAGAGGAGGGGCTGGGGTCAGGGTGGAAGCCTCCCAAGCACAGGTCTCTCCATCCCCACATACATAAAGAAACCAGCAGAAGGAGAACAAAGTTGAGGGTCGGCATGGGGAGCGGACTGTCATGTGCTTGATCTCTTAGGGGAAAGGAAGAGAGCAACTTGGACCTGCTTGTTCCCTGGCTGGACCACCAGGAATTTGAGCCTTGGGTTGGTTAACTAGCAAGAATGTGACCATGACCCTGTGTAGGGAATGTTCAGGAGCTGAGAGGAATTCAGGGAGAAGCTGACCTCTATCTCACTTTTCTTTAATTGGCACAAGGAAAGTTCATGGCTTAACATTAGGGAAAAACATCTTAAAGTGCAAACTAGAAAAATCTCCATGGCAGACTAGTCCAGAGGAAACACACCCATTCCATCTGCGCACAGGGCCCCAGGGAAAACGGCCAGCGCTTTGCATCTTTCGAATACACGCTTGTTGTCTTCTTTCTAGCTGTTCTATTTCAGGGCAACTTAATAGTTTCCCTACTGCTTACAGCATGACTTCTGAGGATGCTTGATCTTGAGTTAAAAGGCAATTTTGAGCAGCTCGATTGGGGGGTGAGTCCTGTGTCTTAAATACAGCGGCGGGTTGTTCTCTGGGAGCCCGACCGACGGCTCACAGCTCAAAGAATGCAGAACTCACCAAAGGATGCTGGCTTCTCCCAACTGACAACTGCACGTACTACAATCAGGGAAACGTGACATTTGGGCTCCACTAAAATGGCCCCAAATTGGTTTTAAAGCAGTAAACCGTCACCATGGGTTTTGAGAACTCAGACTTTAAAGCCTGAAGAATAGAACAAAGATTTAACTTCTGAAAATAACATTCCCTTCAAAAATAAATAAAAATTCTCACATTGGCTGCGAGCTATTTAATCAAATGCTTTTTGTGGTTTCAGAGAATACCAAGACAACCCCAAACACGTCAGTATAATTTCTCTCATCAATTTCTTGTATTCCAGCTTATTGAAACATTAATTATTGTGTAGAGATAAAAGCTGATGGAACAAGGGTCTCAAGCCATAACTGTGACCTCAATTAGCTGCATTACCTGGAGAAGGTCACTAGCCATGTGCAGATTTAATTCCTCAACTGGAAAATGAAGGGACTGGCTGATAGGAGCACTAAGACCCGTCCCAGCTAACAGGCTGTCTTTCTCATTTGTCCAGCTCACATACATTGTGCCACGATGAGGGGCTTTATTAGCAGTCTTACTAATTACTGGGGCTGGCGCATCTTGCTTCGAGCCTGTGCAATCCTGCCCTGGACGGGGGGGCTCATAGCTGCTCTTGTGCCTGTTAGAGGCTGCTGAGATGGGGGAAGTCTAGTGAGGTCCTGCACCCAGGGCTAAGGGGCTTTTGAAAAGCTGCCCTGTGACTCTTAAGAAGGTTTTCCTACACAATCTGGCTACCCTACAGCAACTTTACAAAGTGACAAAGAGGCATTCAAGGTAAACGCCCAGAAACCCTTCAGATGCTACGGCAAGGCCGCACAGAACTCTCATTCAGAACAAAAGCCAGGTCTGGGCTCAGATTCTGAATACAACACTGTTTTTGCTTGTGTGTGTGTGTTGACACATCAGAGGCCTGTTTACCAGTATTTTCATTCGTAGTGATAACATCTCAGTAAGGGTATTTATCCACAGAATGGGCAAAAAAATAGGGAGATTTCCAACTTGGATCTTCCCCTTTGCCAGAAGCTCTGGGGCTTTTTTATTCCCTCCGTATTTCTTTCTGTCAAATGAAATCCTATCTTATCACTGGGTGGGGGAGGGAGGGGGAGAATGGGCAAAAAATAAAACCAGAAACAAGTACATAAGTGAAACATTTCTGTCTACACTTTTTTCTTTACTTAAAATTTCTTTTTCTACAAACTTTTTTTCTAAAATAATCATGGAGTTGGTGTTTATCTCTGAATTATCACCAGGGCATCACCTAGTCTCTCAGACTGGAATTAAGGGGTTGATCAGAGCTGACTGCAGCTTTGAATTTCCAAGCTCAAGGGGTGGGGGGTGTCTTCCTGCCTCGCACATGCCACCAAGCCTGCCTACTTATTGTTTTATATTTAGTAGAGACAGAGTCTTGCTATGTTGCCCAGGCTGGTCTCAAACTCTTGGCCTCAAGGGATCCTCCTACCTCTGACTCCCAAAGTGCTGGGACTACTGGCTTGAGCCACTGCCCCCAGACCAAGCCCCTCCCCAACCTCTTGCCCTGCTCCTGAAAGGCTGGGTTTCTGATCTCATTCACAGGACACCATACAAGGGAAGGTACCTCACTTACAGACCAGGCCTCCAACCTGAAACTTTTGCTTTCAGTAGACAGAGTATAGTCGCTAACATGAACTAGGGCCTCCTCTCCTGTCAGATAGTTAATCCTTCAGCTGCCTTTCTGGGTAAATCCTCATTATCATCATCTCCTTTGATACATACAGATGCTGGGGTCCAAAAAGATTAAATAAATTGCCCAGAGCCAGTACCAGCTTCACCATGACAGACTGCTGCTGCTGCCACAGCCTCACAGCTTGCCTAGAGCCATCCAGCTGCCCTGATCTCTTACCTTCAAGGGCAGGGTTAGGGGAGCCAGGAGGAGGAAGAAGGGATAAAAAAGTGACAAACAGCACCTTCTAAGATCCATATTCTTCATTCCCCACTATTCTGTCCTTTTGACAATTCTCTTACTCAGGTAAGGCCTCTGAAGAGAGCTCTGAAAAGGTCATTAATTTGCTTTTCATTTATCTAACAAAAAACCTCTCATGCGTAGAGAGTACTGAATTGGCTATTGAAGAATGGATTTGAAAGAAGAGAAAAGAGCTCTAAGATGTTGTCCATGCTCTGGAACTGTGGTCCCCAATCCTCTGGGACGAGGATGAGTCCTGGCTCCATGGCCTGTTAGGTAGCAGGAGGTGAGCAGTGGGGAGCCAGCAAAGCTTCATCTCTATTTACAGCCACTCTCCATTGCTCGAATCCCCACCTGAGCTCCGCCTCCTGTCACATCAGCGGTGGCATTAGATTGTCATAGGAGCATGAACCTTACTGTAAACTGCACATTGGAGGGAGCCAGGCTACACGCTCCTTCTGAAAATCTAATTCTCCCCCTGCCCACCCCAGTCTGTGGAAAAACTGTCTTTCATAAAAATTGTCTTCTTTAGCCAGGCACATGTACCCTTGTCAGATGCACCATAGGTGTGGTCCCACCAATTACTCTCCCTCCACCCAGCCTCCCCCCTCCTTTCCCCTTCTTCTTGGGCTATAATTGGGTTATAGCTTTCATATGAAATGCAAATCAAAACTACTTTGAGATATCATCTAACTCTAGTAAGATTAGCCCATATCACAAAAATCCCCAAACCAGAGACGTTGGTGTGGATGTGGAGAAGAGGGAACACTTCTACACTGCTAGTGGGCTAGTGGGAATGCAAACTAATACGTTCCTTTTGGAAAGATGTTTGAAGAACACTTAGAGAATTAAAAATAGACCTGCCATTTGATCCTACAATTCCTCTACTAGGTATATAGCCAGAAGTCCAAAAATCACATAACAAAGATATTTGTACCAGAATGTTTGTTTTAGCCCAATTCATAACTGCTAAGTCACGGAAGAAGACCAAGTGCCCATTGACCCACGAATGGATCAATAAATTGTGGTATACGTACACCATGGAATATTATACAGCCTTAAAGAAAGACGGAGACTTTACTTCCTTCATGTTTACATGGATGGAGCTGGAAAATACTCTTCTTAGCAAAGCATCTCAAGAATGGAAGAAAAAGTATCCAATGTACTCAGCCCTACTATGAAACTAATTTATAGCTTTCATATAAAATTTCTTTTTTGGCTCTGCACCTGTGGCTCAAGTGGCTAAGGCACCAACCACATACACCTAAAGTGGTAGATTCGAATCCAGCCCGGCCTGCCAAATAACAATGATGGCTGCAACCAAAAAATAGCCGGGTGTTGCGGCGGGCACCTGTAGTCCCAGCTACTTGGGAGGCGGAGGCAGGAGACTTGCTTAAGCCCAGGAGTTGGAGGTTGCTGTGAGCTGTGATGCCACGGCACTCTACCCAGGGGGACAGCTTGAAGCTCTGTCTCAAAAAAAAAAAAATAAATAAAATAAAATTTCTTTTTCTAAAAAAATGTTTTTTAAATCATGTCAGATGGGTAACGTGTGGACGTCATAACAAGGTTTGGGATGAGGGTGGCACATCTCACACATGTGCATGAAAAGTCAATCTTCAATCTTACGAACTACAAAAGGATCCTAGAGACTCTTTTTTATTGCCTTATTCATGCCCGCAAAACATGACAAGACAGAATCAGACCCCTTCCCTATAAGGACCACCACAGTACAGTAACCACTGCTCTTTTATTATAAAAGAGGAAAAGGGAGACTGGTATGCTAATCTATGTTTGATTAACTTCTGATACTTGGATTCTAATAAATAGGGGTTTTGTTTTAACCAACACTTCCCTAGGGAATATCAAGGGCTTAAATTAACAACAAAAAAAGCAAAAACAACCAAAAATGTCTCTGCTCTGAGAAGAAAAGGATTTCCTTTTCTTGGTTTATTCCCTGAAACTACCCAGGGCTGAAATGATTATCTACTTCTTCCTGGAATCACTGGAGTATTGTTCAGTTTTTTCTTTGGTTTGATATGCTGTCATGACCCCTATTAGTATGTGGACTTCCCAGTTTTGAGAGCCAAGGGAAAACTGTGACAGGAGGCTTGAGAGTATCTACACTTTGTTCATTTTTTGGTTATTATACAAAGTTTTAATGACTAATAAAGCTCACTGGATGATGACACTTTTGGAAACCAATGCTCAGAAATTGACATACAGGGCTGGGCAGCATGGCTCATCTGTATAATCCTGGCACTCTGGCAGGCAGAGGCAGGTGAACTGCTTGAGTTCAGGAGTTCAAGACCAGCCTGAGCAAGGGCAAGACCTCTGTCTCTACTAAAAATAGAAAAAATGAGTTGGGTGTTGGGGCAAGCATCTGTAGTCCCAGCTACCAGGAAGGCTGAGGTAATAGGATCACTTAAGCCTAGGAGTTTGAGGTTGCTGTGAGCTACGATGCTACGGTCTCTACCCAGGGCAACAGAGTGAGACTCTATCTCAAATTAAAAAAAAAAAAAGAAAGAAAGAAAGAAAAAAAAGAAACTGACATAAAAATTGAATGTTTGGAGTGAAGTCACAGAATAAAGTATAAAATATACTACAGAACTATATTCAATGAGTATTATGTTCCTAATGTCAGTCTATCTTATCTTTGGATTTTTTAGTTACATTTTGAGCTGCTGTCTAAGTAATTATTAGAAGCTGGAACAAGTCTATTCTGCCATGTCTCTTCTCCTCCAAAGTCAACAATTAATCCAATTTGTGATTTGTAAATTCAGAACATTAGCGCTCGATTGGGCATTGAAGGTAATTGTGTAAGCCCATCATATAAGAGCAAAGAACCCCTACCTGGAAATGCGGTCCTCTTGGAATACGCACAGTCCTAAGAGGGATGCACAGGGCACAGGGGAGCAGAAAGGGGACTCTTAGCCAGCCAGCTCTGCCAGTCAGTGCTGGGGTTCACAGTCGAGGCACTGTTACAGGATAACCCTTCCTTCTCAGAGAGGTGCGGAAAAGCAAGTGACTTGCTCAAGGTCACAAAGTTAATTTGTGAACCTGTTAGTTCTCACTGGGGTCATTTCCTAGGATGGTCCCTTCCCTGGTAAAAGACACAAAGATGGGAATGTCCTTTAAAATACAATACATATAGTTACCTCACTCATAGCTCTCTTTTTCCAATTTGCTTAAAAATTGTCTTGGCAATTTACCATTCTAAAATCAAACAGGCTAACCTATTTTGCCAGCTGGATGGTCCATGATGAGGCCTTCAGGCTGCTGGACCTGCCCAATCCTCACCCGCAACACACTTTGGGTACCAGGTGAAAGGAATTTGCCTAAGGCAAACTTGCCATGTCATTCTGATCTTTTCACCTCAAGCTGGTACCAACTCTATCAGGGTCTTTCACTCTGGCCTCACTCTTCAACCACCTACGGAGGCAGAGCACAGATTCTGAAACCGGATTTCCTGTGTTTTAACGTCAGCTATGCTGCTAGTGAGGAAACCTTGGGCAAATTACTTAATCTCTCTATGCCTTGGCTTCCTAATCTATCACGCAGGTATAATGACAGTACCTATCTCAGGGGTGTCGTAAGGATTAAAACAGTTAAGATGTGAACACTTAGAACAGCATTTAGCACAGAATATATTGAAATAGAAAATTACCATTATTTGCTTTGAAGGAAAAGAA